GCAAATTAAAAGGGCGCACGGCGAGTTCTGGAGCTCGTGAAAGCGGGAACCGTAGCGAGTATAAGACCCCGCGAAAGCCTCACCACAGTCAGTGCCCGGTAAGTGATAAGTTGGCCACTTGCCAACACCTCGTACCCGTCTCATTGTGAGTTATATACGGCGTAGACAAAGCTTTGTGCACATATTAATATAATAGATTAAAAGTGCTCTATCTACAAGGAAAGAAGACACACGCGACCGCGTCAGAGAAGAAAATTGTTACTTGCCTTATCTCCAGATATCGAGCGATACCATTCTCCTGGGCAGTAAGCTTAAGCATTTCCATATCCCTGCAAAATATGGTTAGTGCGCGGATGCTCGGAGATGTTCATCTCTTCTGTGATAAAGTTTTTACTTTTTGACTAATTCATCACTTTTGCCCCAGAGTAGCGTCGCAGGAACCCTGTCATTTTGGAATCGCATCAAAGCTCACCTTCTATACGAAATTACGCAGTATGTGATCCATGCGACAGAGGCGAACACGTAGAATATGAATACCATCCAAAAAGTGGTAGCAACATCATTCAATATTTTATCCCTGCTCTGAAAGCCCATTTTGAGGGGATCAATATGGTACGCTTGTACACGATCAGAAATTATATCTAGAAGTGCAGATATCCGCTGACTAGATCTCACAAATTTTGATAAGACGATGCTTCTGCATTGGTGTGCATGGCACACCGATTCAAGTCAGTCCACTGTCGTTCGTCCACTGTCAATTCTGTTCCTACAAGCTGCAGGTTGGCGGTTCCAGCCTTCCCTTAGGCCCATCTGACAGTGCAGAAAGAGATAAATGATGGAATTTCCCAAGAGTGAGAGTCACTTGGACTTGTGGTAACTCTGGTTATAGCTAGTCCTGCGGGTACGGCAATGCAGAATTCAGCCTTGTTCGCTGTGGATGATGGGGCGTGTCAATGAGGCTGGGTTTTGGCGCACCGCTGGAACGTTTTAAGCAGAGGGTAAGTGACATGAGCCAAAGGAAAACGACTGATACGAACGATAATTGATACAGCACGTCACTTGCCGAAAAAAAAAAAGAAAAGAAACAGGCTGGGGCCAAGCCAAACCACCAAACTGACCGCCCCATCAGCTTTCCAGTGAGCGAGAAACCAATTGCATCTCTCTTGTTTCATGTGGCCGGAGAAGCCTCCCCTTTTAGATCTCGAATTTGATGTCTGTAGTCAAATGGGACTTTGTGGCAACAGTATGTTGAGTAGGTGATGGGTGCATGTATGTGAGCAACAGGCCGTCGATATGATTTTTAGGCTGGCTCAGCAACTGCAATGTGCGAGGGTTGTTTGCTCTCAGTGGTCACAAAACATTTGAAAAACTCATGAAAGTCCTCGAAGACAAAGTGTTCTCCCCACCTTCCTCGTACGACGTAGTAGTGAAGAGGTCCATGGGGACTGCTGTGGAGGTTGTTGGTATGTCCATTGGAGATTGGATAGCACTCTATGAGATCTGAAGTAGTGAGGAATAACTAGAGCATCGTATGAATATCGCCCCCAGAATATCGGTAAAACGAAACAGCACAATGCATAGGAAGACACTATTTTGTGAGCAAGGAAACAGTAGCACTGTTAATAGGCTTATTTTAGACGTTCCTTTGGAAATCAGTATCTTGGTGAGGCACTTCTCTAGTGAATACCTGCTAACATATTTGACAATGATACAAACCATATGTAGGCAGGATTTCCATGAAAAATTACGTAACTATGGGCAATGCACAAAGGAGCAGGAAGACGAGCTGTAACATGAGCGAAACGACGAAGGTACTGCACTGAATGAGCGAAACGCGTACACCTATCTTAATGGATATAGGATCGCTGGTATATCTCGTTCCCAGATGGGTGAGACATCTTCTGCAGGTGGGGTGCGTTTCCTGAGCTAATGACAGTCGCAGCGTCTTGATTACTTTTTGCGGAGCAGAGCAATCGAACTACCTCTGAGATGCGAACTTGACAGCCTGTGAGAGGAAGTTGTACTACGTTCAGACAGGAAGAGTGTGAAAGTAGATAGAAGCTGTGGATAAGGGTGTAAGGAAGCTGTAGGGTGAGATATAGAAGATGAAAGAAGAAAAGATCTATCGGCGGTGGAGGGCCGATTTAAATAGATTAAAGCAAAGTAAGATGAAGCCGTCGATGCAGAATGGAATAGACTCTTGGTGTTGCACGGGAGAGAAATGTAAACTGAAGCTTCCCCATGGGGGCCATTGCTTCACCCACCCTGGAAGCGCGCGTGCTCAATCCTCATAGGTGGCTTTTTTTAAAGGAACATTAGCATGAGCGCTTAAGCCTGAGGACAAACTAGGGCAGGAACGCGTTTCTCACAGGGGTTGAAAACGTTAGCATCAGGGCGTTGCCTTATTTTTGTTTGTACAGTTCCGGAGTCATATTTCTCGCGTGTTCATAAACTGCCTCTCCAAAGCCACAACAGATATTTTTGGCCTTCATTTTTCAGACCCTTCTCATGAGAAAAAAAAGCTATTGGTGAGGAAGGGCAGCTAGTGTAAGTATCTGGCAGGAAAGCAGTAGGTCAGAGCGGAGCTCACTGTTTCTGAAAATTTTAAAGAACTGCAGCTCAAAAACAGTCGTCGATCTCGTGGTTTTAGGGCAATGCGAAAGGCCGTTCAGTCTGGAAAAGGTGTCTAGGTGGACCACTGGCTATGAGGGCGATAAGTGGGACGAGGTGCTTTTCGGTGCATGGTTTGGCAGACATTTGCGCTCTCCAACATACTCCTCTAAAGCAACACGATGTTCGATTGCCGACGGCAAACAATAGCGGAGCTTTTGACTTTTTTGAGACCATGTGCTTTTTTTTGTTCAACAATAAAATCGCTCTGGATTGTTACTAAATTGAAGAAAATTTCGTTGTAATCGAAGAATCCACGCGTGTGAAGGACCACATTCCAGGACGTTTCGTGGGAGGGATGGAAATATAAAGAAACCCTCTGGTAGCAGGAACTATCGTTCACAGCTGACAACTTTCAACGAGTGGAACCTTCCTCCCCACCACATATTTTCAAAACGCCCTCGGTGCTACTTTATCAGCCGTCCTGGGGCTAAAGCCACTGCCAGAGGGTAAATGTAATATGAGCATTCAAGCGTGAGTTATTACTTGAGGCTGACAGTGGCTCAAACATAGCAACAAGCACATTAAAGGCACAGTTTCGCGACCGTAATTGCGGGAAACGCAACTCAATAGGCACAAAAAAAGTGCTAAGTATCTGATTAGCGGAGAAAAGCAGCAGAAAAAGCAGTCCGAAATGTTATAGAGAAAGATAACATAGTGGCTACTAGCTAGTAGCTAGCAGCCGGTGAGGGTCGGCATGGGCCTAAGGGGTGTCCATGGGCCTAATTAGTCAGCTTCTAGCGGAGTTCTTGCCGTTTTTCACATTTTGAAAGTAGCGCAGCCTCAAAAATCGCCTTCCGGATCGTCCGACACATTTGAGAGGTCATAGCCTTATTTTATCGCGAATGTGCCTATTATTATATTACTATCTAATATTTGCGTATTTATGTTTTTCTTCCACGTATTGTATTTCTTCTGCTTCACTTTCTAACCTTAGTTACGCCATTCAGTCCTTGTCTAACAATGTGCTCTAATAGTATAAATTACTATCCTTGCTATTCTCTTCATTTATGCTGTATCCTTGGGCGGCTCTGCTTTTAAAGTCGTACTATAATTCCTCTTACCATCTTGGCGCTGATCCTGCTCTCAAGAGGTGGACGGCTTGTCGGGGTTTGACGGGATCTAGCTAAGCTGGTTCGAGCTTCGAACTCTCGGCGAATTTGCAGTGTTCGCGAGCCAGTTGCTCTTCACACCGCAAGGCTTTCACCTACCTCCCCCCCCCCTATCATCTAGCGGCTTTCTTTCGATTTTGTTCCATTCCATGTGTCATCGGTTCACCAAGCCTATATAATCAAGTGTTGGTTCTTGCTTGTGTTACTAATCGATATAAATCAATATTTTGGTGTAAGTAACTCTTGTAATTTATCTGCAGAGTTGTAGTGATGCTGTGTGAAAGTCTTTCGGCCATAGCTGGGCTAGTGTTTTTTGCATGCTCGACTCTCGTGATTATTTTCATTGCATTTTTCTTTGTTTTCCGATCCCATCAGGCTTTTTTCATGCAGTAAATAGAACGATAGAATTATTAGCTAGCTTGATATTATTGTCATAACGCTAGCGATAAAGACCAAGTCTGATGATAAAAGAATGACGACATGAAATTGAAAACTCGGCATGACATTTGGACTCGCAATACAGGAACGAGAAAATATAGGGTGTATTCAGCTGGTTGTGGTGACGATTCTATTATAAGGACTTTTTTCCTTTCTAGGGGGAGTGTTTGTTGGTAGCTTCTCTGCCAGATCCTTCCGGATTCGGATGTTTTCGGCATTCTTCCATTCACTTGTTTCTAACGATCTTCTAGTGTAGCATGTAAATAGTATGGAGTATAGCGATTCAGAAAACAACTTCAAGAGTTGAGACTTCTCCAATGTTGCTAACTTTAGAATAAAAGTTTGTTCTGACGTTTCAGTATTGAATTTCACTTTGAAATGGGATTTTGTCGACAGAAAACCTTTGTTTACAACTAAAAATTTTGGCTCAGGGGTGCCTGAGAGGCGGGAATCACCCTGTAAGGGCTAATGAGAGCAACGAATACGCTACCCGCTTCCAAGATTCCACTCATTTTTTTTTCCGTTCTGCGGGAAGGTAGTATACGAATGCAGCTGAAAGCATTCCACTTTGCAAAATGAGATGGCGTTTGGCGTTACCTCAACTCATCAATGATGGAGTTGCATTGGTGCACTAATTCGCTAATTCGTCATCTTACAGTATCCATTTCTGCATGAAAAATTTGAGCACAATTCGGCCTGGTGGGGGCACTTTTGCAAGTCTCGCATCGTATCACGTGCGTTGCTTCCTATGAAAGAAGACGCTGGAATTAGCTGGAATGTCTAGTGAATAGCAACACTTAAGCAGGAGTCATAGCAGGTCAGCACCAGGTGACGCGGTAATCTAACAGGATAGCCGAAGAAAGTAGGCTAGAATTTGAAGTACGAGTTGGCGTCAACCACGTTAGTGAGCAGAGAAACGTAAGTTCGCGCACGCGATGGGCTGCGTGCGACGCGTGGCGCCGTCGAAATGACGAATGGTTCCAGTAGTAGATGGCGACAGCAGGCATTTTAGAACCGAAAATAGATATTCATTCGATAGTCTACGAACGAAGGGGTCTACATGAAGTCCGGTGCTCCAGCCGACAAGTTAACACGAGTCAAGAAAACGCCGCGCCCGTCGTAGCGCGCGGCCGAGCGTCAAATTACGATCCTTGCCCGTCCCCCGCACACCACCTCCCTCTGCGAATGGGCGTAATGCCAAATGTTTGTATACACGAGTGTCGTTCTATGCTTTTTTTTTCTTTCCATTTAATTTTTCGAACATGCGAAACGTGTATTCAGCGCCCTTCCTCAGCGAGCACCTCTTCCATCCAGTGTAAAAATGGCATCAGCATGGCATTCATCATTCATGCAATATTTCAATCAGATAAAAAGGGCTGTTATTCATAGGCAAGCCGCCAGCACATTAGGGTAAGATTCAGTTTTAAATGGCTAGAATGCCTTCAATGCGAACGCGGTCATTAATAAAACCGTAAAGCTATGACGTATGTGGAACTCTCTGCTTGTGTTCATTTATTGTGTACCGACGATAAGATAGCTGAATATTCAAGCCGATGATGTACCTCTCTCATTCGGTTTACTGTGACGCATGGTCAGTGCAAAAAAGAGAAGTTATCAAAGGAAGTGGTAACTAAAGTGGTAGAAAAAAGATGAACGAATAAGATAGTTTCAGGAAAAGTTGCTGTATGAAAATATTTAAGCATTAGCATATCAGTATTCTTGATTTATGAGGCATGCAGGAAGTCTCAGAATGACAGTCAGGGCGTTACCCCGTTGGCAGTTGGGCGGGGACGCGGGTGTCGGGAGGGCGGTTTCGCGCGATCCTCACGAGTTTTTATGTTGCCAGACGAGTAAATACTCCATGCTTGCGCACAGAACTAGCATGCCCAAAGAAAGCGTCTGAATATCAAATGAACACGATGCGTGCCTTCAAAGGACATGCCATAACCAGAACAGATAGTGCGAGATTCAAGTCAGAAAAACCCAGAGAAAATGAAGCTGAACATAAAGAACAAAACAAACAAAGAAGCGAAAGCAAAGAGTGAAAGGGTGCTTGGTCAGAAGCGAAGGTAGTGACTGAACTCGTTTTGAATGCTACCTAGCAGCCGTAAAAAAGAAGAGAGACGTAGGCTAAGTCGATGTCAAGTTAGCAGCATAGCGAACAAGGGCACTTGACCAGGAAGAAACAAAAATCACATGGCCAGACAAATAAACGGAAAATTCTCTTTGAAGAAGATATAGCACGCTATTGGCCATGAAATCTCTGCAGCTTCTCTTGCAATCTTTATTTAGCGCTTTCGTCATGCGAACTAAGTTTTTATCAGTGACTTTGGGCGTCGACTATAACATCGCCG